AAGAAAAAAATTCAATTTTTTCGGCACTGGTATATTCCATAAAAATTTTCAAATTTTTGTGTTCAAGTAATATGGAATTTCGTTATGAAATGGGTTGATTTCATTTGTTAAAAGGTGATACCCCAATTTCATTGTGTATTGACCAGATTTATCATAGTGTCAAATAAGTTTATCCTCCCTTGGGGATGCGAAAGTATGACATAGCATAGTTTGGGATGACCATTCCTATCAATTTTATAACCACTTCTTTGGTTGCCAAAGACATAACCGGTTTCCAATTCTAAATCCGAGTTGCTAACGAGTCCTCAATGTACCAAAAGGTGAGGACTTTAGAACAATGTATTCTTGATAGAAAGCCCAAGTACCAATCATGAGTCCCTATTTTAGATACTCCTAGAGCTTTTGCTAATTCTGTAGCATCTTGCTCAGAAATATTGGAACTCAAGGTAACAACCGATTTTTGGAGGTTAACTCATTGATGACCACTGGCTGCTTCGTATGATTGCAGGATTCCCAACAGATAGTTATTTCTGGTCTGGAGGTTCTAAGAAATAAATATGAATCATCAGCAAAAAAGAGGTGGGAGGTCATGAGAGCCTCCCTATGAACCTGAAGCCCATAGAGAGAAAAGTTTAAGCCATCAGCTTGGATCATAGCCGAAAAGGCCTCTGTGTGGATAGAAAATAATAATGAAGAGAGAGGGTCACCTCGACGCAATACATAATGAGGCTTGGAAAACCCATGGATTGAGCCATTTAAAATTAACGATAAGGAAACAGTAGTAATACAAGAGCCGATCCATTGGTCACTGATTCACAATGCTTTCATTACATTTATTAGAAATTCTCATTCTACACGGTCATAAGCTTTTTCCATATCCAGATTTAGAGCCATCCATTTTTATTTTCCTTTGATCATCGTCTTAAGGAATTGCATTACCTCTTGGCCAATCAAGATATTAACAACAATAGATCTTCCCTTTACAAAACCGTTTTTATTATGACCCACAATGAGTGGTAACAAATGACTTAGTCATTCTACCATGATTTTGGGAATAATTTTGTAGAATACTTGGCACAGTCCTATAGGTCGTATTTATCTCATGTATTTCGCATTCGAAACCTTGGGAATAAGGGTGAGTAGAATGTGGTTGAAATTATAGAGAATTCTTAATCAGTGAAAGAAGGAATGGATAGCCTCACATAGCGGGTTACTAATAACTTCCTAGAAGGTTTGGTAAAAAAGCCTTGTGAAGCCATCTATACTTGGAGCTTGGTATGTCCCTATAGCTAATCTAAATCTCTTAATATTCTCTTGAGATACTAGTGATGTTAAGAAAGAGTTCACGTGAGAATCAACTTTAGTGGTGAGACCTAGGTCAGCCACCATAGGTAGGGAGGCTACTCCGTTCGATGTGAAGAGGTGAACAAAAAAGCCGATAGATATTGAAGCTTTACTTTGTTCATCTGTATGAGGAACCCCATTATTGTTCTTAAGAAATTTAATTATGTTTTTCATCTTTCTTTGAATAGTGGATAGATGGAAGAAATGAGTATTTGAGTCCCCTAACGAGAGCCAAGTCGTTCTCGATTTTTATTTCCAAAAATCTCCACTTGAAAATAAGCCGAGGATAGCTTAAATTCTAGTGATCTGATCGAATCCCTATCCACAGAGTGGGCTTCTTTGGCTTCATCAATCACTTCTCATAATTCTCTAATCTGTCAAGTTGAGTTGGAGGTTCATTTAGACATCCACTATACAAGGTTATACCATGCGCCTTTCAGCTGAGCAGAGAACTTAAATTGTATTATACAATTCATTTGGTCCCACCAATTTCCTAACACTTTTTCTTTAGTTTCAGGATTATAAGCCCAACGACTATCAAATTGAGAGCGCATCCTACATAATTCAATTTGAGGTTCAAGATGTAAAATGATCATTCGATGATCAGATCCCAGGTCTGTGAGGTGTGTAACTTCGGCTAGAGGCAAAGTATTGAGTACGAAAGAAGATCCTAGAACTCTATCAAGTATAACCATAAAGTGGTCATTAGCCGATTGAAGATTAGACCAGGTAATTGGGAACCACAGAAACCCATATCATGTAACCCAACTTGAGAGCAGAAGTCTCTTAGCTGGTCAAGAGCTAAAAAATGCAGGGCTCCTACCCCCTGTCATTTTCTATGACTGAAGAATACAATTGAAGTCCCCAAGTACACATATAAGGTTGGAACAAGCCTGAGGGCTGAGTTGGAAATGTCATCCAGTTGGGGCTGACTGTTTCTTATATCACAGCCAAGATAAACACAAATAAAGAAAGCGATCCTCAACTCACGATGGTGACATTTTAATGATCTCTTGGTAGGGATATGAGTTTCTTATACCACTAGTTACCACCCTAAACCAGGGTTTTACAGGGTGGTATATTTGGTCTTGAAATCCCCCCTAGAAATTCATAGATTGATCACGATGAAACCATTCTTTTTCGAGAAAATTTTCAAAATTCGTGTTTAAATGAAAGTGGTAACAAGTGGTAGAATTATTTTCTCAAAATATTTGAAAATAGATATCATTTTGTAGATCACAACGAACCCGTTCAATCTGTGAAAAAAATTTGAAATCCAAGTTAGATCGAAGAAGATAAAAGCCGATTAAAAAACTTAGAGAAAATAGAAAAGCCATTTAGGGGTCGTTTGGATGGAACAAATTGACCCATTTAGCACTCCCAAAATCGGATGAGGCAATATTTGGTGTTGGGGGGATTTCACTTTGATCTATTATGGAACATTTGAGATTACCTGGTGGGGGAGACAATTTCAATTGTCTCGTTTTCTCCTTTTTGCCCCCGTCATTCCAGTGGAGTCGGGTCGTTCGAGGGACAAGTTGCGAGATTCTTCTCTTTAAAGATTGTGCCAGGTAAAGTGATTCTTGCTGATTCTTCTTCGGATAATACCTTCCATTTGTAATGCGAGCATTACCAAAATGGACGATTAGGGTTTCTCGAAGTTCTGGATATTTGCACTACAGCTTTCTGTTGACGCTTGCACTGTAAATCTTCTTCTTTGTCTTCCAGGTCGCCCATGTAACTTATGGTTGAGGGGAGTGGGGAGAGCTTCTTCGTCTGCCAGAGATGGGGAGATGTGGAATTGTATTCTGTGAGGTGGAAGAGAAGATATTTATGAGATAGATAAAGAGGAAAAAACCCCAGTAAGTTGAGGACATTTTGGTAGTTCACCATTATCTCCAGAAATAGACAATTGTAAATTGCATCATTCCAAAAGCAACACCAACGGACCAATTCATCCAATTCCTAGTGGTTGAAATGAGATATTTATGAAATGGATCAAAGTACATAATTGACTTATTTTATAACTATTTCATCCAAACAACTCCTTATTTTCACATGACATCATCAAATCTGATTTCACTTTTTTTTCCAACGTAAGCCAAGAAGGCATGGGGACAAAGACGTAACTCAGTTACAAGGAGAAATTCAAAAAAGGCGGTAATCCATAAGCAAGTGAATTCCTGATGAATGAGCCTGCTTTGCCAATACATGGGTAGCTCTATTAAAGCTCCAAGAAGAAAAAGGAAAGGACACAAACTAAAAAAAAAAAGAGAAAAGGGAGTGAACTTCCTCCAAAAAAGTCCTGCTCGAGAGTGCGTAGCGTTCTTTGAAATTAAGAGAGGGTTTCGATTTCTCTAAGTCGCAAAATGAAAGGAAGAATTGTGGGAGGAGAAGCTGATTGGTGATTGAGAATTAAGATTAGTGGTTCCAAAACTTGGTCGCCAGAAGGAGAGAGGAGAAGAGAAGACCAAAGAGAAAGGGAGGGTTTCCATTTCTCTGAGTTAGACCCGCCAGGCAGAGATTAGAGAGAAAAAGAAGGCCAAAGAGAAACGACATCTCAATCGTCCAGTTTCATTACTTGCAACGGTAACCGGTTGCTAACCGATACCCAGTTAGTCGGTTAATCTATTAACTGGTTTCATTCCGATAACGGTAGTCGGCAACAATTTAGCACTAATCGGTATACCGATAGTCGGCCGATTACCACCCCTAGGTTCCCTTATCATGATTTATTTGCCTTTCTCCTAATCAGTAAGTGAGCTCAGGGTTACACGCGTCGCCTTTGTGCATATTCTCCTTAGGGATTATGATTCCTCCTAGGGGTATACCTTTAGGCATTTTCCTCTTAGGGGATATCTTTAGGCAAAAATGTCTCATCTCCAACCAAATCAGCCATTAGACAAGCTGCTTCATATGGGATCTCGTCCTCTGTCTCCTATTTACACTTAAAATAAAATGATCATATCTAGACTCTAGTTATGTAAGGGTTATACAATTGTTGGGTCTAGTATTAACCCGCCTAATACGGGCCCAAGCCCATCACAAAAGCATCTCACCTTGGGCCCAAGCCCATTATAGGGTCCAGTACACCGGGAGGCGTCCAGTCCACCCGGGGCCGTCCATCACCGGGAGGCGTCCAGCCTACCCGGGGGCGTCCACCACCGGAAGGCGTCCATCGACGGGAGGCGTCCAGTCTACCGGGGGCGTCCATGACAACGGGAGGCGTCCACACGATGCCTCCGACTCCTACATAAGGAGGCCAGACCCTCCAAGCAAGGGGACTTCTTCTCTCCCTTCCCTCACTTTACCACTTATGGTTCTCTCTCTAAACCCTATATCTCTCTACATTTCTCTCTACACTCTATCATATATCCTATTCTAACTTGGGCGTCGGAGTGTAGATCCCGGGGGCCGCCCCCGACTCTCCACAGGATTCTTCCACTCCCGAGGAGATCAGACGAGGGAGTCCGGATCAAGGTTCCACACAAATCCCCCGGTACTAATCCGGGTCAAACAACTATGATTATTCACCCTAACCCATATGCAATTGATCTTAATGTGGCTTTAGAACTTGGAATCAACTTGCATCGCTATTAACCCAAGGTTCATAATTGGATGGTCGCACAACCCTTATTGGCCCAGCCCAACCCAAACGCGCTTCTTCGGTGCCTCGAGAGAAAATAATAACAAATGGTGTTAGCCCAATTTCATCGTCCTCGAAAATAAATCCCAGTCTCCACAGCCACGACGACAATCAAGCCTCTTCTCGTTTCACTTCTTTGGTTCCGAGTCCTGTAACTTCCACTCATCCCAATTCTCAGCGCTGCAACTTCCGGCTTCAGCGAAGAGCGAACCGCTGTTTCTGAATTGCCAATGTTTCCTCCCTTCCATCTCTCATTCCTGCCCTAAACCCTAGAAGACGGCCGACGCCTCCGCTCCATCACCACCTCCCCAATCTTCCCTCCGACTAATCCCACCAACAAATTCCTTGGCCCCAAATTGCCAGTGCCAGGCCAAAGCTATGGCTTCCAGAGACCAGGCTGTGGCTCTACTATGCGCCGCTAGAACGCACGGCGATGTTGCTATCAAGCTTTCTTCCCTGAGGCAGGCCAAAGACATTCTCTTGTCCGTAGACCCGTCCTTGGCCGCCGAGCTCTTCCCGTACTTGGTTGACCTTCAGTATTCGCCTCACAATCTCGTTAGGAAGATGCTCCTTGAGTGAGTTCCCACCCAAACCCTAATTCCCGCTCCATCTCCTTTTTATGCTTATTATATTTTACTTGTCCTGCTGCAAATTTTCGTACTAAAAATTGCCCTCTTCTGCGCGCCAGTTCCTTGGTTCCCTGCTAGAATCCTTTACAAGATCGCTCCTTTTTAGTAATGTAGTTAACAGTGTATCTTCACTTTGGTTTTAGGCAACAGCATTCTACTTCCAAGCGGAGATAGTGATTAATTGATATGTTTTTTTGATAATGAATTGACTTGTTTGGTGCCCTGGTTTCATCTTTTGTGGGACTATGTACTTGCACTCGCATTGCATTGATATTGTTTGGCTTGCTACTATACTCATCATTTTGGTCCGCTGAAATTTACATATCCACCAGTTAGATGTTTTCTTAGACATTGTCCTGCAATCTGTGTGGTTATTATGCAGTGCTCTTTAAATGTCCTCTGTCTGTTTGGCAGGATAATTGGTGAAATTAGTATGAAAGCGATGGAACATTGTCACCTGTTAGTGCCTGTTTTGTTGGCTCTTCTAAGAGATTCAGATCCTATCATTGCGAGGGACGCTGTTGCCAGTGGCATACATTTTTACTGTGCTGTTCTGGAGGAAATGGCATTGCAGGTCTATCTCTCTCTCTCTCTCTCTCTCATGTTTGAGTTCAGTGGATGTGCCCATTGCAAGTCATTTAGCCTCATGGGAATTTAAGTTTTTCTGTATCTTATGTTTTGGGATTTTGCTTAAATCACTATGGATTAGTTGTCGAAAGAGAATGAAATTAGTGTTGCTACTAGATGAAAATGTAGGATGACAATAAGGAGAGCGACCCAATATCTTCATTGTTCACTGCAAACATATAAAAGAAGTTTATTGGCTAAACGCTCTGGAAGTCTTAAAATGAAATTGTCTTAACAAAAATCCTGTTGCATGCTACAGAAACCTGCTTCCTAGCGAATAAATAGGGAAAGAAACATATTGTTGTCGAAAGTTTATTGTGATGGTTAGTTAGTGTATATGTTGAATGGGGTTTGGGGGGGGGGGGGGGGGGGGACAACTTGTTCGTATTGCAGAGCTAAGTAGTACTTGCTGGTTCAGACCCATAGTTTGGGAGAATCACGATGTTCCCTTCATCTTTTATTCAAGGCTCTTGTGTGGTTATTCTGGATAATCACTGTCCATGTTACTAAGATGTGTATTTTTGCCTATCTGTAATGTGGTTGTTCACATTCTATATGCAAGTTTACTTATCTGCCTTCTTTCTGTGTTTCATTAAAGTTTCTCAATAAACAGAATGGTTGCCTCCCTCTCTATGGGCTCCATAATTTAGTATTTGATGTTCTATTTCGTCATTTCTTCTAGCTATTGTACATCTATTTCTTCACATGGTGGTTTTAATTCTTAATATGTCTGCAGTACCTGTCTGTCTAATCTTCTACCAACAGTTGTGTCTTACATATGTCCTGTTTTCCATTTTGCTGGAATTATAGTTTCACCAACGTGGAAAAGTAGAACGCTGGCTCGAAGAACTCTGGCTTTGGATGCTTAAATTTAAAGATTCTGTTTTTTCCATGGCTTTTGAGGTATGTCTAGCTTATTCTGCGATTCCGTGACCTGAACCCTATTGGTTCCACTTGTCAGGTCTAGGACCTGAGATTACCGAGATACTTTGATTGGGAAATAGGTTAATGATATATTTTCTTTGTAACCCTGTAATTGCATTTTTATTTGAACAGAAGATTCTCTGTTTATAACCTGAATGTTGCTTGAACTTTGTTCTAGGCTGGTTCCATTGGACCGAAGTTGCTGGCATTGAAGTTTCTGGAAACATATATTTTACTTTTTACAGCTGACACCAATGATTCCGACAACAGTGTTGTGGGAGGTATTGCATCTTGACCCTTAAGATCTATAATAAGAAATTGAAACGATAAGATTGACGAAGGAACTTGGGGTGCAAGTTCTTTGATGTAGTTTCTGTGTTTTTATATGTAGTTTTATTTTGTACTGATTTTATCAAGGTTGTTGCAGGAAGTAGACGGTTATTTAATATATCATGGTTGGGAGGTTACCACCCTGTGTTGGATCCAGTTTTCTTCATGTCTGATGCAAATAGGACTTTAGGTATTCTATTGGATTTTCTAAGGTCGCCGAGAAGTCTTCCTGGTTCATTGATAATTTCCATTGTTAATTGGTGAGTCTAATTAAGTTGCATGCATAATTCCAATTTATCTCATTCAATTTCTTACTTGCTAACATTATATCCATCTCAACTGAACTGTTACCTCCTTTTGTTTGATTGTTCGTTTAATTTTATTGTTTGAGTTATTAGATCCACCTGTGTTCAATGTGATATGATTGACTTTGTTGGAAACATTAATTAATTAAGGTGAACTCATTCTCATAAATCGTGTAATTATTTGCAACCTAGCAACATGCCTGCATCTATTTATGTTGAATAACTTATATCTCACTTCCATTGAAAAGCAACCCATGTTTGAGTCCCTTGGTTGCTTGTTCCTCTAAAATCTGATGAAGAGGGAAGTCAGGTGGGTAAGAGGCATGGATTGATGTTGCATATTGTCTCAATGAAAGTTGGTTCGTTGCATTTGTTTGCTGTCGGATGGTATATTTGTTATGCTTTAAGGTTATATATATAAAATTACATTGATGCTGGAGATCCTTGTGGAATGCTTCAATGCTTTTCTGATAACATATATCGATGGAAAAATCCGGTCATTGTTCTTAAATGATTAAGATTAAATAACATGCTCATCAACTTTATGTTCAGATGATTGATATTGATGGACAAGAGGAAGAAGAATTTTAAATCATATCATTCATGGTTGAATGGCAGGGCACCAACATATAACCGATTATAACTGTCTGTTTCCATTCAGATATCTCATCTTCTACTATCCCGTTCAAACTTTATTTGTAATTTACAGGGTGTATGTTGCCTGTTGGGCTTGATTCTTTTCCTTTAAAATTTTGGAGGGATAGTGGCTTGGAAACAAGTTGTAGTACAAGTTCAACTGCTTGTTTGTCACGTTATTGCAGCATGCTGGCCAGCTTTCTCATGCGGAATGTACTGGGCTTGGATACTGCACCGTCCAGATAATGGAAGTTTACAGTGTAGACAGTATCCCCACCTCTTACAATTCTTTGGATCACCAGTGGCCAGTTATTGGAATGGTTAACTGATGGTAAAATGGTCATCCCATGTGCTGAGGGATACTGGGTGGTCAAAGCAACGCAATTTATCTTCATAAACCTGTTAGACAGGCCATTAGTTACTACTGTTAGTTGAGGTTTTGTTATGTAGTGCTTACTGTCGAGGATGCACGGGTACTTGAGAGTATTATTGTTTTGCTACTGTTGATATACACAATTAATACCTATTTATTGGAAATTACTTTTAAACTGGGTTTGACCCTGCTTTATATGTTTTGCTCGTTATTATGTTTTCAAGTTCCCATGTCCGATAATCTATTGTGTCAATCTTTTAAGCTGTGGATGGCCCCGTGATATCTGTTATGGTCCATTGTGATTCTGATTCCACTCCCATCAGCTCACAGCAGTCATGTCTGCTCTTTACATGCTTGTTAGTCCTTTTGGCTACGACATAACAGCATACTGTATGACTTCACCTTGAAGCTACTTCTTTGTCTTGTTGTAAAGCTGAGTATTATAGAAAAGGTATTGGAGGGATGTGGTGCTCTTATGTTTATGACACTCAGAATGACATTCCTGTTGACGATATCAAATAAAAACAGTCTCGAAATCGAAAACTGGCATAATTTAGTAAATGAACTCAAGTTTAGGTATCAGTTCTTTCTAACTTGAGTGGGGTGGATGTCACTGAAGTAATTCTAATTCTGCTGTTCGGAAGTGAACATACCGTGAATTCAGATGTTACATTGCTTTTGCTAGGGCCTTCTTCTAGTGAGAAGTAGCCTCGTTTCACAGTATGTCATGATTAACTCAAAAGTGGCATTGATTAACTCTCGTTTCTGTTCTATTTCCTGGGCTCAGTGTGTTGAACTTTTAGTTTTGCTTTTTGTCTTCCTGAATTTCTTATTTCTGTGTTCATCTGCCCTTTGTTTTGAATTAATGTGTTTATCTGCAATTTACCCTTTCTACTTTCTTAAATATGTTGGCTGTTTCCTTGGTAGATCATATGTAGTTAATCTGTACAGCCTTCATGATACTGAAAAATTGTCCAAGAGCCATGACATATCTGTCTTTTCAACAGTCTTTCAGCTATAGCAAGGAAGAGGCCTATCCACTATGATATCATCCTTTCAGCATTGCTTGATTTTGATCCGAACTTTGAGACTGCTAAGGGTGTTCTTCCAGTCAGTATCCAGTACTCCTTGAGGACAGCCTTTCTAGGATTCCTTCGGTGCACCAGTCATACCATTATAGAGGTAAATATTTTCTATTATTAATTGTCTTTATTTTTTCTGTGTGCACTCTTCCCCTTTTGGCTCTGGTCAGTTTGAATCTTTTGTATACGCAGCTTTCAGAAATCTAGGATATTTTCAAAATGTATTGTTGATTTCTTATTATAGCCTTTTATTTTAGGCAATAGTTGATCGTGCTCTCTTTAATATGACTAGTTTGTATCAATATCAGCTGATGCTAGATTGAAGGCTACTAAGCTTTATCTTTCGATAACTTGGAAGAGAAAATTATCCTGTGGCCGCATGCAAAGAATCTATTCAACAAAGTAAAATTTAGATCATCAGTTGCTCTTACCCTGCAGAAGTAAAAAAGCCAAATAAATATGCGAAATTAATTATCCATTTTATTATTTATCACCCAAAAGGAATGAAAACTAAAAAAAAGGAAAGTTTGTGATGGAATCAAGACACAGACGTCTAGTCCTCTCGGAAGGCCAAAGTGCAGGACAATAATGCATTAGTTTCTCTCTATTGTTTGAGCTGCGGGTCTGTGACTAAAGCCATAAAATGAATCCGATTCCATCTTGTCAGGTTGTTGATGTCTGAGCATTGTGCTGCTGCAATGATATGTTTTCCTCTTTGCATCTCTTACTAGCCTCAACTCTTTTTGATGTTTTCCTGCTTTCTCCCTCTCTCTGATCTTTTCTCAGTCAAGAGATAGGTTGTTGATGGCTTTACGTGCCTTGAATGCTGGGGATGCTGCCGATCAAGTTGTCCGCCAAGTTGATAGAATGATAAAGAATGGCGAGCGTAGCTCACGTGAATCCAGGTTCAGTACCAGGGTAATGCCTCCTTAAGCAGAGTAGTTCCTAGCAATCACTGTTAATCCGTTTTATCATAAGATATGATCTAATAAATTTCTCTCTCCTGGTGCTGCCTTGATGAAATTAACTTTGGTCATTAGGATGATCAACAATCAAACCAACCAGTCATTTCAATGGACCAATCGAGGAAAAGATCAATGCCCCTGGATACTGATGAGCAAGCTAATGGTCACGTGGTGTCTCTCAAGCGAACTCGTTATGACCCGTCGAGTATGGCAACTCACACTGATCATTCTGAGAAGGATTCTATTCTAGGCAATGGCACGGCAGCTAATGCCTCCCTAGTAGATGGTGATTTGACTCCTGCTGAACAGATGATTGCTATGATTGGTGCATTACTCGGGGAAGGAGAGAGAGGGGCTGAATCACTTGAAATTCTCATTTCAAATATTCATCCTGATCTACTTGCTGACATTGTCATTACTAATATGAAACATTTGCCTACGACCTTTCTATCTTTACCGAAGGTTGGGAGCTTGCCAATTAGTCGCCAACTTGGCTCTCAGACCAGTCCTGCACATGTTATTGCTCCACCTATCATTCCAACCCAGTCTACTTCTCTAGCCCCTTCCTCTCATGTTTCAACATCTGCTCAACCTATCAATATTTTGTCTCAAGCTGACACATCAAATGCCAATACCTTCCCAACAGATTCTAAACGTGATCCGAGACGGGTATGTGGCTGTTCTCCAGTTAATTTCCCCCCATCTATTTCTGTTTATCATAGTGGGTTTTCCTTTTTTTTTTTCTTCTTCTCACAGGCTGTTAACATCCGAGTTTTTTTCTTTCTAATTCTAATATGACTCCTGTCTGATTATTGCAGGACCCCCGCCGCCTGGATCCACGCCGTACAATGCCGCCTGCACCAACATCTATTGTGGATGATATTGGTGTCGTGGAATCTGAATTTGATGGGTCTTCTACTTTAAGTAAGTCTTCGTCATTTTCTGTGCCAACACCTGCTGAGAATGACCTGGATGCTTTACCGTTAAACTACACAGTTAACGTAAAAGAAGAACCCACCCCTGAACTGGATCAAGTTTCTACGAAAGATGAGGGTTCATGCACAGCTGAGGAACTTGTTCATACTTCAGAGTCCGATATTGTTCCAGAACATTCGTATTCCCTTCCTGATGAAGACAACCGTGATGCATTAGCAGTTTCAGATTTTGAAGTGGCATATGATGCTGAAACGTCTTTCGTGGAATCTGATGAGTATTCTTCTCCTGCTGATTCAAAAGAATGTCTGACTGAGGAGACTTTTGGGGATTTAGCCGAGCTTCCGTTGTATGTTGAACTGGATGAAGCACAACAAAGAAATGAGAGGAACACAGCAATTGAGCGGATTATTGAATCCTATGGGAAATTATCTGACGCTGATTGTGGAAGCCAGATGCGCATGGCACTCCTTGCTCGGTTAGTTGCTCAGGTAAGGATCTCCCATTGGCTGTCTCTTATTTCAGGTGTATTTTCTTCACCCCAAAGTTTCTTTGGTTCTTCTGTTGTTAATCTTCCCTACTCTATTTGTTGTATCAATGTTTGGAAACTGAAAATTGTCGGTTTTAATCTTACTTTCAACTCACCAACTGGTTACTGATTTTTGAGGTGATGACATGTAGTATCAGTGCAACCTGTATTACAGTGTCACAGCTGTGTTTATATTGCCGTTGTCCTTTTTCAGATTGACGCAGATGATGATGTTGTTGAGCTGCTGCAGAAACATATAACAGTGGATTACCGACAACAGAAGGTAGTTGCTATTTTAAAACTTCCTTGATTAATTACTTGTGCTTTATCACTACTTATCACCTGTTCCTTTTTCAATTGTCTTCATTTTTTTCTGTTTTTTTATCTCTCTCCACTCGTTTTCAGGGGCATGAGCTTGTGCTTCACATCCTATACCATCTGCATTCTCTCATAGCTGTAGATGCAAATGGAAACCCCTCATATGCTGCTGCAATATATGAGAAATTTCTAGTGGCAGCGGTAAGTGTTTCTTTGTATTCGCTGGTTTATCATCTTCCACCAGGTATTCAGATTGAAGTTCTATCCTTTTTTTTTTTTTTGCAGGCCAAATCTTTGCTTGATGCTTTCCCGGCATCTGACAAGTCGTTTTGTCGACTGTTGGGCGAAGTTCCGCTTCTGTCCACGTCAGCATTGAAATTGTTGGAAAATTTGTGCTATTGTGATGTTTTTGATTCACATGGAAATGAGGTTCGTGATGTTGAACGAGTCACTCAGGGTCTTGGTGCTGTTTGGAGTTTGATTCTTGGGCGACCAAAGGATCGGCAAGCATGTTTAGATATAGCGTTGAAGGTAACTTTTAATTTGTGTAACTGGTGGCAGTGTCGTGCTTTAAGAATTAGTAGCATTTGATCAGCAGTTTGTGGGCTTGGTAGGATCAGCACAGGTTTTCAGCTTGGATCATGCTTCTGTGTTCCAACTGTTTCCTTCGTTTGCTTCCTTCAACACGAATCATTATGTTACCCTTGCAAATCGGATTGGACTTGGTAGGAAATCTGAGATAAATGGATAATCTATAAGAAATCTCAGGGTCCACTAATGTGCTGTCATGGGATAATGTGATCCGTTATGTATGGATATATGGCATGTGCAGATGCCTGATGCATTTTTCTTTTTATCGCAGTGTGCTGTCCATTCACAAGATGATGTCCGAGCAAAAGCTATTCGGCTGGTATATGTCTCTATACAACTCTATATTTTTTTTATGTCCCCAATTGGCTTGATTTCGCTAATTGAAACTAAACTTAGCTTCTGCTTGTGGAGCCGCAAGCTCTCTTTCATTTTCTTGAAATTGAGTATTATTTTTCTTTTGAAAGGTGGCGAACAAACTTTACCAGCTAAGCTACATTTCAGAAAATATTGAGCAATTTGCAACCAGTATGTTGCTATCTGCCGTAGATCAGCAGTCCTCAGATGTGGAGCTTTCTCAGTCTGCTTCCGTTGAGCAAAGAGAAGGCGAGGTATGAGTCCTGATTTGTTTTGTTCGGATTCTGCTTAATCGAGATAGAATATCTGCTTTTTAGCAGCACTTTCTGCAAAATTCTGGAACTAGGCTGACAATCAACATTAATCCTAATCATTGGAGCTGATTGTTTTTTTTTAATCTTTTGTTTGGGATTGGAAGAGGATGGTACTGGGATATAGTGACCCTACAGCGCCCTTTGTTGTCTGACAATCAACACACATCTAAACTTTGGAGCGGATTGTTTTCTTTTAACCTCTTGTTTGGGATTGGAAGAGGATGCTACTGAGATATTGTGACCCTACAGCTCCCTTTGTTGTCTGATGAGCCCCATTAATTTATCTTACCTTCTTCGGGTGCTTGCTTTTTAGGTTGGAACCCAGGAAGCCTTGATTAGTGGTTCTCAAGTTCAGAGCGTTTCTACCATGTCTCTCCCAGAAGCCCAGCGTCTTCTGTCTTTGTTCTTCGCTTTGTGTACAAAGGTATCATTTATTCGGTCATAGCAAACTTGCTTCTGTAGTGCTTGTGATGCTGATGAATTTTTTTTTTGTTTTGTTGTTGTTTCAGAAACCTAGTCTCCTTCAACTTGTCTTTGATGTTTATGGGCGAGCACCAAAAGCTGTAAAGCAGGTCCACTCTCTTTCACACTTGCTGTTGTTACCTTTTTCATACTTCATAGTTGCTCAGTTTTGATCGGATTTATACTGTATTCATATTCATTCCGCTTGTAGAAGTTCAGAATCGGCTGTGCAATAGTTTTCAATTTGTGCCATGGGGGCGGCGGTCCCCTGGACATAGTCCTTTCAGGCGGTGGCCATTTAGTCCATGGACCATTTGATGGTTACATCCAGTTAAAAACTTCTGTGTCGTGGAGTTACTGGTTTCTTTCTGACAAGCCCCGACATGGGCTTCTAGCTTTGGATATGAAACCACAGCAAACCGCTGAGGCTCTCCATGCTAATCTTACCATTTCTATACCGATCCTAAGATATTGAATTTTGTTTGCAACATGTTTTAGTGCCATGTGGAATTGGTGCCTCCTTGGTTGTGTTCCCTACTCGGGCCCATTTCCCGTAGAGATTGGTGTTCATATTTGTTTGAGTTACTATTTTGGTTGTTGCTAGTCTTGTTAGGAGAGTCATGATTGATTGGCATAATTATGTTTTCGCATTTGTTGAATATGCCTAAAAATTAATTGCTGTACAAATTACGTTGCTACTATAAGGCTGCAATTCATGAGATAAATCTGCCATCACATAGGACAGTGTGCCACTTTAGTTTTCTTGATACTTTTGTAATATAACTGTGAATCTATAACCAATTTTGTTGTGTTTAAGCTTGGCTTTCATGTTTCAGGCTGTTCATCGTCATATACCCATTCTTATAAGGGCTCTAGGACCATCTTATTCCAAATTGCTACAGATAATATCTGATCCACCTGAAGGGTGTGAAAACCTTTTGATGCTGGTACCTTTGAGACCTTCAAACTCTGTATACTTTGATATTCAGTTTCAATTCTCTTGTTTTATGCTGATGGTGGCTGTTGTTTTTCTTAGGTGGTCCAAATACTAACTCAGGAGACAACACCTTCCGCTGATTTGATTGCTACTGTCAAACATCTATATGAAACTAAGCTAAAGGTTTTTCAACATTATGGAACTGTAGAAATTACTGGTTCAAATATCGCTACTTGCTTGTCTCATGTTTCCCATTGTAATGGTGCAGGATGCCACTATACTTATTCCAATTTTATCATCCCTATCGAAGAGCGAGGTTACTATCTCTCTCTTTCTCTATCTGCGCTAAGAACCTTTGTGCTCATTAAGCTATTTTGATTACGTCTATGAAATGGTTTCAGCTATTCCAAAATGTTGGGTCTTTTGATGTGTAGGTTTTCGGAAATCATTTAGATTGTTCGTGTTCATTAAGTCCATTTGATCCCAATCCCGAATATGAAATGTTCTTCAGCTAGTTTAGCATTTTGGTCCTTTGAAAGTGTAGCTTGTTATGAATTCATTTAGGTTGTTTATGTTGTTTAACTTCAAGTAATGATGATTGAGTAATTATTTTAGGTGTTACCTATATTCCCTCGACTTGTTGGCCTTCCCATAGAGAAGTTTCAGATGGCAATAGCTCATATTTTACAGGTAAGCTCGATGATTTTGTGCAAAGCTTCATCTTGTGTTGATGGTTTGTTCTTTCTTTTTTTGACAGTCGTGTCTTCCTGTTCTTTGGGTGAGTCTTATGGAACCCTATCGTACTGAAGATACAGCATAGTGGAATATATTAAAATTCAATATGAATAAACTAGTTTAGTACTAGTAGAATCTGATGGCTAATGGTTAGTGTTATGGTAGTAATAGTTATTCGTAGATGTGCTATCACAGCTTCTGTAAGATTTAATGATGCAATGGTCATAACTACAATTGATGCAAGGGATTTTCTGAAGTGTAATGAGCATCACACTGCCCCAAATGCTTTTCTCTGCACTATCGTTACCTTTTCTGAGCACGATTCTTTCCTTGTCAGGAAAATTAGGATTGACCAGGTATCTGATAATTAGTGGCTGTCGATTTCTTTTTTCACTTTTCACCTGTAATTTGGAAAATTTTGGGTATTAGGCAATCTTTGTAGATATGAATGTGGAGGGTTCCTTCTGGCTAGACAGGATTACTATTGATTTATAGTTGATCGGTATAAAAGAAAACTGGAAGGATATCCCCATTAGAAGTCAACTGTTAGTTGATCAAGATGAGAAGTGCACCACATTAATGTTTGCCAGGTTTTGTGGTATGTAGTTTGATGAGTGTTTTTCTCCTCTGTCCGTTTACCGTTGAGGTTTGCATTTTCTGCTTCAGGGTTCAGCACATACAGGTCCAGCGTTAAGTCCTGCAGAGGTTTTGGTTGCCATCCATGGTATCAGTCCAGATAAAGATGGCCTTCCACTCAAAAAGGCATGTATTATGTTGGTGATATTTGTGTCAAGAAGTTACTGAATGAAATGCCATCATCCTGTGTTTACAAAAGTTACATAAATTACATAGAAGCTGTTCCATTGTCGTGGGAACTAGTTGATTTGAAAAGTGCTGATAAGAATGGTTTCCTTCGGCTAAATTGTGAAGCATTTTGCTCAGTTGGAGTAGGAATTGGCAGGACTTACACTTAATTTCTACTATGCAGTCTTCATTTTTAGGTTAATGTCTATTTTTTATCCAAATCTTTGCCAGATTCTTTTATATTATCCAAACCTGTCGAAATACTAAGAATTAACCAAATGTTAACTTTCCGTTAGCAATTTTGTTAGTAATATTGACTTGCCAACATGATACTGACTTGGAAGAGACATATGAAGGTCAACATTGCAAAATTTTAGTATTTTAACTAAGAAAAGAGTTACAAAATTATTAACGATAACGTAAAAATAGCTAATATTTTGATGCATTGCGAAAGATTTGGCTAATTAATAGCATTTTAATAGGTTTGAATAATATAAAAGAATTTGAAAAAGATTCAGATAAAAAATAGACATTACCTTCTTTTTTATTTGGCCGAGTTTTGTCCTTGCCAGTAGCTTTTGTCTGATTCTTTATGTATATTCAGATAATGGATGCATGCTCGGCATGTTTTGAACAGAGGACAGTTTTTACTCAGCAAGTCTTGGCCAAGGCTCTGAATCAGATGGTACTATATGTTAGTTTGTCATTCTTCTTTGGAAACTTGGTAAAATTTTCGTACTAAAATGGTGCATTTCTCTCAGGTTGATCAAACGCCTTTGCCCTTGCTCTTCGTGCGAACAGTAATCCAGGCAATTGATGCATTTCCTTCGCTGGTAATTAGCCTCTTCTTTCTTTCTTGTTAAACTTTTTGTGATATGATTCAGTACTTCGTAGTTCTGGAAAAATGGAGTGTAACTCTACGTCCAGATGAGTATCAACCATATATGATTTCTAATAATACCTGTTAATTTCATTAATTTCCCTCAGGTTGATTTTGTCATGGAGATACTCTCGAAACTTGTTGGTAGGGAGGTAGGTTGAGCAAAACCGCCACTCTTGTCCTTGCTAATTTTATGCTTCGGAATTGCTGATGGATCATAGTAGCTCTTCTTTCTTTATGATTCTTTGAGTTCAGGTGTGGAAAATGCCAAAATTATGGGTTGGATTCCTGAAATGTGTTTCCCAAACGCTGCCTCACTCTTTCAGCGTATTATTACAGGTGACTTTTCCCATTGCCTTTTGGTTCTGTTTCTAAATCGTTGTCAAGTTCTATTTCCTTGATGCGCAAGCCATGTGAATTACCTTAAGAGCTCCCTTGCCTTGCAGCTACCGCCTCCACAACTAGAAAGTGCACTGAACAAATATGCTAATCTTAGAGGCCCCTTGGCTGCTTATGCGTGTCAACCCAGTATAAAAGGTTCGGTACATAGGTACGATCAAACCGGTCTTTGACTTCATCGTTTTTCTTCCAACTATTGGCAGAAAATGTATCAGAATAACGTGAGCTTCTTTTGTGGCAGATCAACTTTAGCAGTACTAGGGCTTTCGGATGAAATGCACATACAACCGTCTCATGTCCAAACTTTGCAATCTTCAAATACTGCTTCAACTCAAGCGGCAGCAAACCTTACGTGACAAACAGAAGGAATTGATTGTTTGGGCCTTCCTGTTGTAGCTACTGCCACGGCAATAGTTTCCCGGTTCCAGCATGGCAAAGATGCTGAGGTGATGGTGGAAATCAACTTTTAGCGAATAGTTGTGCCACCATGAGAAAAGCCTGCGGTGTGACAGCGGTGGAGAGATATAGAAGTAGTTTGTATATGTTCAATTTTTGTTCCTTCCAATGTGTTTGGTGAAATTTCGGTGCTTAAGTAAGTAATATGCTTCATTAAAAGATAAGACCAGTCTAGGGCCACAGTGCATAGCTCGAGCCATTGTTTCTTCGCTGCTTTAGGTTGAGATGGGCTTCTTATTCCGACCACTTGTAAATGCCTGTGTACCAAAAATGGTGGCAATTATGATCACAATAAAGATGTATTCGTGAAACTAACAAAGCACCGAGAATCCGAATGGAATGAGAATTCGTTCTTGATGTTAAGCTGTTTCACAGTAAGTTTATCACAATTAATTCAAATGACAATTGAGTAACTGAATTTCCTGCACGAAAACAACTGGCTTGCCTCTCTAAAGAAATTTCACGAAGACATCATTAGTGCATGATACCTATTGTCACAATTGTGTGATGACAATTCGTTCCAATAGGGTCCACTTTGTTATTCTATTGTAGAACACACATTGTCGCGAGATAGTAAGGATGATGAGAGGATGTTCAACACACATTGTAACGAGATAGTAAGGATGATGGCGAGGATTCCTAAAGGATGTTCCTTTCGAACTCATCGGGTTTTCGTTGACATATCGATTCATGCTGTCACTTGTGCTTCCTCTTCATCTCTTTTATGTTTCCATTTTGTGTTGGAGAAAAAACTTCACTTGGTAATTGTTATTATTCCTAATTCTACCCGGACAAGGGAAGGAAAGAACAAGAAACTCTTAGATGTTTGTAATCCTACTGCTAGTTGGAAATGTAGGTATCATTCACTATAAACAAAAGTTTCATTCGAAGTATATCCAAAAATCAATCTATCAGTCTTCTTAGGTCAAGAAATTCAACGGCCCTTATCTCATTCGGTTTACACTTAGTGATAATATCGTGATATGAAAGTGGTATAAGATGACGTAAAAATATTTTGCTTCAAAACCTATCAAAATGGACTATGCACAAAAAATATGAATAATGATATCTATTTCGTTATGTTTGGTCAAACATAAAACCTCAATCATATCACTGTCATATCATGATATCTCTATAACATGATAATGATATGATATCATCAAATTATCTCCCTAAAATTTGGCCAGCCGCCCTAAAAAATTGATAAGCCCTCTCCTCAAATTCCTACATTTTCTTTTTATCCCTTATAAAAAGATGACCATTAAATCCTTCACTCTCAATTTCAACCATTCATTATAGTTTTGTAATACTACAAAACTATATGGTTTTTACTCTAACCCAAACCTTATTATTTACGGTAATAATTAGTTATTCCTATTTTATCACTAACAAATATTATTTTCTCATAAAAAATAGTAATATTTTTCTCAATTATTTAGGATGGAAATGTATTTTATAGGGGAAAGGATATTGTACAAAACCCCAATCTACAAAACCACTACAAAACCCCATCATCCACCCTCTATTCCTTCTCCCTCGAATAATGGTTCAGGTTCTTTTGAAAAAAGAGGGGCGGACTTGTAATTCTGTAACCCCTGCCTTTTTTTGTTGGCCTAACAAAGATCCGGATGAGAGAGAGAAGAAAGTTGACCAATAAGTTTACTTTTCCTAATTCCCAACTTTTCCTAATCGGATCCTAACTCTTCAAAACATGTGTATATTGTAGTAAATCATTGTCATATCTATCATATCTATCATATCATCATGATATGATGACCCATCTCCTTCATTTCAACTCAAAATGAAATAAAAAAGTATAGAAACAACACATTCATTAGATTCACACATTGATATTCATTTTGTTATGTTTTGCCAAGTAGAAGACCTCTTACTAACATCGTATCACTGTCATATAATGATGTTATCTTCATACCATAGTGATAATATCATTATCATCAAACATAAGACCTCATACAAACATCATATCAGTGTCATTTCCTGATATTATCATTATCATATAATGCTAATATCATGATATGACACTAATATTGATATCATCAAATTATTTTGTCAAACATAAGAATTCATACAAACATCATATCACTATCACTAGAGCCGGGCTCGGCCTGTTGGTCGGGTATTTGATTATTATATATTTTGTATGTGTTGGTAATACTTATAATGTGTGTCAATAGCATTGGATATCCATGAGAAATTCATAGAGCATTCCTTTCTCTTGGATTTCCGTCAATCGCATTTGCAACCCGCACGTACAAAACCTCAACAAAAAAGAAACTACCATTTCCTGAAAAACATGCTTAGCTGAGAATTCTAGAGACTTTTGAAAATTGAACTTAAAACGAGAATGTTGTTTAGTACCAATTTTTATCATCTGAAAAATTATGGTGGTCTGATTACCACATTTTTAAGTTTAATAAGTATTTGTGAAATTGTACCATATTATGGTCTAACCAAAAAAAGGTTATCAAAACCCATGCTTGTGACCAGTTTTAATGGTATAAAATGGTTTAATTATGGTTTCAACACAAAATATCTTATATATGACTTTTCAATGTAAACTTCAGTACGATTTTTCAAATTGTGTACAAAATTAATATATGTAATGAAAATATATAGATAATAAATTGAATCAAACTAAATCATAAAAAAATTCTCAAAATAGGAAAACCAACTTTTTGTGCGAGGATAAATCTACCTTTAGTAAACAAATTACATAAAATTTAAAATAATTAACTATTAAATCTCACGTGTCCAATTATACATATGCATCTGTATTTTTTCTAAAAATTATCATTTTTTCTTGCAATCCGTGATCCTATCTGACCTATTCCTGAATGCTCATCCCATACAACCCTTGTTTTCTTTTTGTCCATGATCGACCTCTAGTGTTGGGGGAACAGGACCGAACGAATCAGTGGGTCGACTCAAAGCAATACACCGATTTCTTGAAATAAAATTTCGGTATCCAAATTATTTTCTTACTATTAAGTAAATAAATTTTTACCCAATCGATTTCTTGAAATTACATTTCGCTCATCTTATATAACTGACATGTGCTTAAGTTAATACTACCCGTTTCTAAACTAACGTTATAGACAAATTGTCACACCGCGACCCTCAAAACAGGACGGGTCGGTGGATCTCTAGGATCAAGCTTACACACCTGATTAGGAGTTTTTTCCAGAAATAGCACCTTTAAAAAAAAATTACAAAACTAGCACCCGCCCAAAAATATTTACAAAACTAGCACCCTTTTTTATTGACCGCACCCTCCAGGTGCGGTTTACATATAAAACGCATCCCCCAGGTGCGTTTTAAATGTAAACCGCACCTGGAGGGTGCGGTCAATACTGGTGGGCCTAAACCGCACCTGGGCCATGCGTTTTCATGTCTGGCCTACATGAAACGCATGGCCGAGGTGCGGTTTAGGCCTGACCTACCTAAACCGCACCTTAGAGATGCGGTTTCTGCCTCCAAGAACAAACCGCATCTCTAAGGTGCGGTTTGGCCATGTAGACCGCACCCCCCAGGTGCGGTTTACATGTCAATAATTTTCCGACACCCAACACAGCATGCAGAGAATTATGGACGTAGGGCTGCATGGCAGACTAAAACCGCACCCTAGAGGTGCGGTTTTCAGAATTTTTTCCCTATATAAGACTTGCCGGAAAACCTCTACTCTTCACACCTCTCATTCTCTCTTTCTTTTTTCTGTTGTATATCTATATTTATTTAGTGTGTTTGCCATTAAGATTAACTCGTAAGTTTATTTTGTGTTACTTTTTATGCCATTAACATTAACTCGTAAGTTTATTTTGTGTTACTTTTTATGCCATTAACTCGTAACTTTAATTTGTGTTACTTTTTATGCCATTAACATTAACTCGTAAGTTTATTTTGTGTTACTTTTTATTGTTATTTGTGATTTGTGATTTTTATGATATTAACTAAAACTACGGTTTGTTTGTGTGCAGATGGCATTCCGTCAGTTAACGCTTGGCTTACGGTGGAATGGTTACACGGAAGAGACCGGAAAGGGGGCCACCTACGTCGGTGGCAATTTTCAGAAAATAACGGTCGGTACCAGACCGAAGCTTGAAGACCTCCATCAAATATGCACTGACGTTACTTGCATGGATGGCACGAGGAGGGTAGATCGTATGGTGTACCGATACCCAAACAGAGCAACTGGGTCATTGTGGCATGAGGAATATACCATAACCACTCAAGATGACGTAGATTCCATGCTCGAATTCTTGAGGTCCAACAAATTGGCCAAAGCCGAGATGTTCGTTTACACCGAGCCAGCCGTTAGTGTTGGAGGTCATTCTGGACACGGTCAAACATCTGGTATCCATGGTGGAGGTGAATTATATGACGATCATCCCTACCAAAGTTACCATGATCCTCATTCCTATTTTCAGTACCAAGATGGAGGGCAAGGTGCAGGCCATCATCAATCTTTCTCGTCATATGAAGAAGAAGTTCAACCGGACATCCCCAACCAAGCCCAGTACAACTTCTTGACAGGCAGCGGTAGTTTTCACAACTACCATTATGGAGCTGATGAAGGTGCCTTTCATGAGCAGGATCAGATGGAGGCTGCCACACCAGCACCAGTCAGCGACCCCTCTGATGAAGAAGGAGAGAACAACGTCAGTGCAGACAGCTCAGACCCTCTTGAAGGTGCTGATGATTCAGCACCAGATTCAGATTCAGATAATGATCATGATGTGGCTCCTGACCGTGTACCAGTCCCCTACTACAATCACATTCCAGACGACAATTGGATGGTCGACAGCGACATGGAGCCGCCAGAGGTCCCAATATGGGGCCCACTCGCTGGGTTTACGAAGGGCCAACAATTTGGCTCGAAGAAGGATGTGCGGCACGCCCTTGAGACTGAAGCAATGACTCGGCATTTTGAATGGGACACAACTCATTCCAACACCAAAAGGCTCATAGTCAGATGCCGTAATCATCACGAGGGGTGCAATGTTAGGATTCGGGCCATCAACAGCAAGAGACACGGCCACTGGGTCATATCCCGTGCGGTCAACACACACACATGTGTGTCATCCATAACTTCCCAAGGCCATCGACAGTTGAAATCCAGGGTGGTTGCTGCGGCTATCAAGCATCTGATTGAGGCTGAACCGGATCTGAAGGTGAAAGTCATAATCGCTGACATTGCAAGTCGTTTTGGTTATATGATTAACTATAAGAAGGCGTGGCATGGAAAGCAGAAAGCTATGGCCGCCGTCTATGGTGATTGGGAAGAATCATATGCATTCCTTCCCAGACTAATACTGGCATTGGAGGCGTCTAACCCTGGGACTGTGTTCTCCCCTCGATACCAAGATGAAGAG